CATATGAGGAAATTGAGGCCCAGAAATGTTGTAACTTCCCCAAGGTTACATGGATATTTAGGTGGCAGAACCAGGATTAGAAGCCAGACTATTGCTGTCTCTACCACTTTCTGGCTACCTCATGGCATCCTCTTTCCAACGTCTTTCTTTTTTATTGAGTAAATGCCATAAAACCCAATAGCAATGAGGTTGGTGCTCACCCGGAACTCTTCCATCAGTACTATCAAATGGAGGCAACCACAGGGCAATTCTTGAGAAAGGAAAGAATGAACTAGCCTTTAAGAAAATAGCAGTGTCTGAAGGGAATAGATTCACACTGGCCACAAGGGATTCTCTTAATCAGGTTTCTGTGGGAAAGACCCTGAAAGAGCAATTAACAGATGCTGATGGTGTTGTGACTACTGTTGGGGTACAAACTCAATTCTAGGTCGGGCCTTCAGGAGAAAAATTCCTAAAGTCACTCTTATAACTTTAGCACAGGAAAAATTATTAGAGATTCTCTAGCTTTCACTCACTTTACAGATAAGGAGACTGAAATACAGGGATTAAAAGTAAGTTGAGTAAAGCCACGGAGTACATCAGTTGTCAAGATGGAGTTAGAAGCCAGGCTTTCTGCTTCCTTGTCCAATGCTTACTACTATATAATCCTGAATTCCAAAGGAACTTTTTATAAGCATCACTAACCTGATGTTCCTTCTTTATCAGCTGTGGTCTTGAGAGGAATTGCAAGGTAATAGGAAGCAGAGTGAATGAAAGGTGTGTGGTCTAGCCCTTGTTTAGCCATTAGCCGGCTTGCTGAGCTTTAGTAAATTCCTTCTGTAGTTGCATCCCTGTGCCTAGTACAGTGTCTGGAACATAACAGGTGTTGAATAAATTGATTGTATGGTCTCTAAGATTTTATTCCCCAGCCTTAGAGAAACAGCAGGAGAAGTAATAGGTGTATTTCCTGAATCCCCAAAAAAGGGAAGAGATGAGTAGAATTCAGTCACCTACATATTGCTATGAGTAAGGGTTTTGTGCTTTTTGTTGAGAAGAATAAGTTGGGGGCAGGGAGGTGGCACAGTGGATAGAGCACGGGACCTAAGTTCAAATCTGGCCTCAGACCAAACACTTGACACTTACTAGCTGTGTGATCCTGGGCAAGTCACTTAACCCCAAATGCCTAAAAAAAAAAAGAGAGAGAGAGAGAGAGAAGAACAAGTTGGTGATTCTAAGAGTTGCCTGGGCAGGAATTTTGTGTCCCAATTGTCCTCTAATTTTGTTCTCATGAGACTGGGAAACAATGGAACTGACATTATACTAAAGCCCTTAAAGTGAATTGACATGAGTCTTTCTCAAGGACACCAGCAACACTCCCTCAAATAGAAATGACAGAAATAGCAAGGTAGAGCTTCAATAGATGGTGAGAATAAAAATTAAAATCAAGGGCACCAGAGGACCATGAGTGGACCCACCTGCAGAGATGGAGTGACTCAATGACAGCCAAGTGTATATGGGG